AGTCGGGAAGAAAAAAAATTATATGTATTTTCTACATGTTAGTAAACTCTAAAATCGATAAAATAAGCCTTTGAAACCCCTAAATTGTTAAAATTTTCGTCCCCTGGACCACTTTCGAAACCTTTTAATCGAAGCTCGACCACGCCCACATTGATTTCGTCGGGGAAATCTGACCCCTCGTCGGGGGCATCGGCCCCTTAGTCGAGGACCTTGCCGCCCCCCCCCCCTTCCGTCGGGCAATTCCTGGCGCCACCCCTGGTGTACTCCCGGGACAAATCCTCTTCTACTAATACTCCAGCATTCTATGAGAATTCACATCTTCTAACCTTATTGTGTTGATGCTTTCAAAAAACAGAAAATACACTGTGAGGGGACCCTCCACTGAGTGTAATTGCTTGTACGTGGGGTCCCATAATATCATTTTGATAAAGGAGGCCTCAACGCTATCGATTGGACAATAACCCGGACTTGCCTTAAGTCTGCCGCGAAAAATTTGTAATCAAGACATTGCAAGTTACGAAATTTTCGCGGAAAGTTACGAAAAAGTTCGGGTTCTGAAATTTCGAAACCTTCTCCATCCCCTGGCGCCATCATCGGATCTAAATATATATTCAATTAATGTATGGTCCGCGGTACAGGTTGCTCGGTTACCGAGCAAACTGTACCGCGGTTTGCTCGGTTACCGATATTCATCTATTGGTCATTCAAACTCTTGACATATCTATAGAGCATCTTCAAACAGTATAACATGTCAGCTTTATTGCTTGATAATCATTCAAATAGACATAGACCTCATATAGGGCCATAACGCTCTAAGTAAACAACGTCGGCATTGCAATATTACGATTAGCAAACATTGCAAACAAAGGTATATTGTATAAACCTTTACTTGCAAGGTGGTCTAATTCACTCCTTAACCCATCCCATCCCAAGTAACCAGTCCATCTCTGCGTATTTTGAGGTCTCAGAATACAACAAAACTGGCCAAACGTGATAACCATGGAGCCTGATAAAGCGACAATCGTTAAAAAAACGGGGGAAAGAGCGTCTGATGAGGAAGGCTTGCTGGAGAGGGGGACCTGGTCCGGTAAACTCGACTTCGTTTTGTCTCTAATCGGATTTTCTGTGGGACTAGGAAATGTCTGGCGATTTCCATATCTTTGCTATAAGAACGGGGGAGGTAAGTGAGAGAAAAAATTTAAACTTTTATCACGAGCTACATTAATTCTACACGAAAGAAAAAAAGTTGAATGACGGGGATTCGATCTAATAACCGACACATTATTTACACCGTTATTCTTCACGATACTTATGGATAGATGAAAACAAAAGGCACATCATATTTGAAACACGACCCATTTAGTAGTCATAATAATTTATACAAGGCCAACCAATAATGCCTGATTGTATCTTGGAGCTCCGTGGTGGGGTTGTGACAGAAGACTTCAAAGAATGTAGGCCTATTCAATTACCCTTAACAAATACCATACCACATAACGCTTATCCTCAGGCTCCCATGGCCTATTACCATATTTGATTAAAATTTGGTGATTGTATTTGTAACAACCATTAAGTTAGTCTTTAACAGCTGATAATAATAAAAATGAATTACATATACCTATGTATTTGTTATCGTGTTCCTATGCATAAGAAATGATGATGATGTTAGAATAAAAACTAATTGCAAATACCTATACACGTCTGTTATTGTGAGCCCGTTCATAAAAAATTCTGTACACTATAACGATACACATTATTACCCTGAATAATGGAACAAATGCATATGCTTGGTACGGCAGATCCAGTCATTTGCATGAGGAGTTTAGAGCAATGAGCACAGCTTGTATACACGAAAGCGCACTTGGAGAAGACGGAACTTGAGAAGCGGTACGCGACCTCTTCCATTCGTATTATTTAAGAAGAAATGTGTTGAACTGTACTTTCTGAGCACTTTCCGCTGGCGCATATGCATATCCAACTTATAGGCCCGCAGGAAGCGGTTTATTATTGGTCAGGTCAAAGGGACAAGATTTCTCTCTCTTGACCCTTAGAGGGATTTACCAGTGGCGGCACCAGAGACTCCCCGACAGTGTGACCACTGCTTGGGCATTTACCCAAGATTCTGGGATATTTATACTTGGTCTTGGGTTCTTTGGTATTCCGTTCAAATACTTGGGTATTTTATTTTTACTAAGAAAATTAAATATTTTTTGTCATAGAGGAAGAATTAAGAAGTAACAAAGTATATGTCAGTCCATTCAGGTAAGCAAAACTCAAGGAAGTGCACATAACATTTTTAATTGCTATAAACATGGGTTCAGAATTGTTTATTTGTGATTTGCGTTGCCATTGATCTTACCTAATTAATGCATTACATAATAAAACTTGATCACTGATCTACTGATAACACTGGCAGACTGAGGGCGTATTTTTCTATCTGTATTCCGTATCACCTCATGAATATTAATTTTAATAATTAACACAAACAATTACAATAAAAAATGTCTTATAAATTGAACTAAAAGGGAAACTATACATGCGAAAAACACGTGTTTTTTTTTTTCAAATTTTAATTCATTTTGAGGTAGCTTGGGTAATTTTGGGCAATTTTTGCTGAATCTTGGGTAATTTCAACCCACAACAATTTTTCACTGGAACCCCAAAAATGAAGGGGGATCGGGGGTCCTCCCCGGGAAAATTTCTCATTCTTGAAGAAAGTTAGTCGTTAACACTGTTAAATAAATATAATATAAATCATCAAAGTACTTTTTTATTTATTCAGATAAAAATTTAAATTAAAAATTTCAAACAGACAGCCAATAAAATAGTGTATATAAGTGTATTACAATAATTGCTTAAAAATTTTAAAAACAGAACACCAAAATTCCAGAAATTTACAACACAAACGTAAAAAAAACAATGGATAAAAAGCACAGCACGAGACAAATAAAAAAAATTCAAATGATAAAAATGGAAGAAATAAGGAAGGCATATAAAAAACACATTAATTAAAAATTGAATTGAATTTTCTTATTGTAACAAAAAAAAAAAAAAAAAAAAAAAACAACTCACGGGTCCCCATAAGGTGGGTCTAGAATTCTTTTTATTATTTTTTTCTTTTCTTTTTGGCTGAAGGGAGGGGGAGGACCCCGAATCTCCAGATCCGCCAATGTGAATTGCGAGAAAATCTAACTCGGTCGGGGACTGGATAAACACTCTCTTTCAGATGTGTATAAGAGACAGCATGGAGCCTGATAAAGCGACAATCGTTAAAAAAACGGGGGAAAGAGCGTCTGATGAGGAAGGCTTGCTGGAGAGGGGGACGTGGTCCGGTAAACTCGACTTCGTTTTGTCATTTTTTTTAATTATTTAATTTTATTGTTATTATTTTATTGTTATTTGCATGCTTTTTTTTAAATTTAATTTTATTGTTATTATTTTATTGTTATTTGCATTTTTTCGGTTGGTCTATATTATTTCTTTGTAAAGTGCCTAGGGACAATGTGCAATATGCGCTATATAAATATAACATTATTATAATTATTATTAATGACACTTTAACAAGACATACAAAATGTGGCTGTAACATATTATGATCTAGTGTTTAATACAACAACTTTACTTTTATCAATAGTGTCCAACCAATTTTGTAACATTTATTGAGGGTCCAAGTTCCTCGATGGGGATCGACACCCACCTCAGACCCAGTATGGTTGGGTCTGAGGTGAGCAAACATTAAAAATAGATACCTAGTTCCTACCTCAGATGCCCTCTGCCCGGAAATGGTACTTTAAGACTCTGAAATAGTTTTCTCTCTATTTCCCTACGGAGATTCCACGGTTTTCTTCCCCAGACCCCCGCTGATGGCGCCGAAACTGGTGTTTGTCAACTTTCGAAATATGTAACTTGTTTAGTTAAAGCGAAATTCCCCCTCCCCTTTTACCCTACTTCATTTCAGTTTTATGAAAATGCTACGTGCTAGCCGGCCCTGTAGGGAAACTAGTCAGTTGTTAGGCCTATATTTATAGAGAGCGTTTTTACAAAAACGGTCCAAGAACTCAGGGCTCCAAACTTCACTTACACCCCCCTCCCAGTCATGGGAGGGGGGTGTAAGTGACACATAACACATTATTACAGGCATTCGAACTTAAGAGGGAAGATAAAGTACCTCACCCACAGCCACAATCAAACCGGGCCAGGATGCGCCATGCTCATGTTTTCCTGATTTCAACTGCTGATATGATTATGACGCCATTTCAACAATAAGGGAAGGATCATTTTCGCTTTCTCTTATTTTCAATAAGCTGTTCAATTTACCATGACGATCGTTTTGCAATGTGTTCATTGATTGAGGCACAGGTACTGTGGTAGGCTTACCTGGAATTACAGCGATCGCGGCACCAAACTTTACTCGCTGTATATGATAAGAAAAGCAGGTGATTGGCCTGTGATGATCGAAATGTAAAGTGCTTTTTATCGCTTATGGTGAACATTTAAAAAAAGGTTATAGGCCTATTATTTGAATTAGTAATTAAAAGTAAAGTTACGAGATTGTAATCTTACTATTTTATTACTGGTTATTAAAAGAATGTATAAGCACCTTATCTTTATGATAGTCCTAAAGGTGCGGCCAGACGAGCCCTTGTACCAGGATGTTTGTATGTTTCGAGTAATTTCACTCAGTTCCCTGGTTTCGACCGACATCCATTTGAGCCACCCCCTCTGACAGACCAAAAAAAAACCCATCAAATGGTGATAAAATTCACTAAATACATGCTGAGAAGGCTACAGCTTCAGGCCTGGGCACCCCACTTCTGGCTAGGAACCCCACCTCCTCCAAAGAGAAATCCTCGTATTCCACTGTTTTACATAATGTAGGCCAAATCATTTGCCTAACAACCCGAACATTTAAGTTCGAGTACAGGTTTACTAACACATACATTGAATGTATATAATTCATATTTTCATGAACTTTTCTTTGCAATTATTTTTATCTGTAGGTGCTTTCCTGATTCCGTACTTCATCTGTCTGATTGTCGGAGCCATTCCGTTAGTTTTCTTGGAGGTCGGCATCGGTCAGTTTACATCTCAGGGTGGAATATCATGCTGGGGAATATGCCCTATATTTAAAGGTAGGCCTAGTGGTATATAAGGTGAGTTCAGTGGGGTGGGAAAATGAGGGGAGTTCAGTTGTTTATTAGTCAATCTGTCCGTAATGTTTTACGTGTACAGTATAATGTAAATCGTAAACGGTAAAGTAGAGGAAACTGCAAGTGTAAAATATCATCCCAACCGGGATTCGAGCCCATATATACATATATATGTAAGATCTCCAAGTTTTCTCACTTTAACGTTGATGAAGATAGCAGGAGCTATCGAAATATCCGTTTGATTTTGTTATAGCTTAATAAATTTGTGTTCCGCAAGTCAACTTTCAATGATTGTACACCGTTTTTTCA